GATAGGCTTGCCGGTGATCATTTTGACAGCGACGTTGTCTGTGATGCCGAGCGCGCGCGCCACGCTCACCCCCTCCTCCCCCAGCCTGCTGTACTGAAAAATAACACTTATTGTAATAAATCAAGCATCATTAGGTACAGTCGAAGAAGTTCGCGGTGTTCCAGCTTAAAAGCTACAATCGCGTTCGAATATTTTGAAACGGAACGCGGAACATAAAATCTATATAACGCATCTGAAAGATGTATGTACATGTTTAGTTTTTTTTTATTATCCGTTCGTTTGCACCATTAAATGCTAAATAATTAGTTATTTATAAACAAGGCAATATTTCCTAAAGTGGAATATCGCGGATTACCTCGGTGTTGCAATTACAGAAAATGCCTTGTTAGGAATAATGAGACAAAAATCGAATATTTTTTTATAAATAATCAATTAGGTAGAGATGAATTGCGTATTTTCGTACAGACACACCATGCATCCTAAATGGGTTATGATATCGTCATCTGAATGCGTGCAGAACGTCGTTACCAGGGTGTGGTAGTGGCGGTAGTCGGGGCGCAGCGCGGGCTGCGGCGCCACCAGGTGCAGCAGGTGCAGCGCGCCCGCGCCGCGCAGCACCACGCCGCCCGCCGCGCGCAGCGCCGCCAGCGCGCGCCGCGCCGCCCCCACCTCCATGCACCCTGCAACACATCCCACTAAATATTCATTGTTTTAAGGTGGCAAATGAACGTCCACTTGAATCCGACAAAATGGCGAAGCGAACGCTGCCCACAAACATTTGCTAAAGCCTACATTTAATGAACGAAGGAAACGCACATAAAGAGGATATTTCCCTTTCTCATACGTCTCCTCAGGGTCAAATGCACGTTCTTTTCCAACCCTTTTCTTATAAGAAAAGGGGAAGGAAGAGGGACTAAAGTTAGGCTAAAGCTGGTATTACGGGTTATAGTGAGATAACTGAAAAGACCTAACAATAAGCATATACTGTATACCATAGGCTATATACCATGACACTAAATTGGATTTTTTGTATACTATGTTCTGAACCAAAGACTTAATTAATAAAAAAAATTATCATTCAAACACTTTGTTGTTGAAGACATCACTCGGCACTCCGGCCGCGTTTTATTCGCACAAAAACAGTTTTATTAATTTTAGCACAATCGTTGTTTTTTATTTCATGTCATTTTTGTGGTAATCTTATAACAAGTAGAAAGGTTTAAAAAAAAGTGCATATTCCGTATTAAAAATGTTCATTTATCATGAATTTTAAAAACAGTAAATTAAGCATAAAATGAAGTGTTAATACCTATGATGGCAGCTTTGCCGAGCTGACTGACCACCAGCTCGGTGTCATCGTCGATGCGGCTGGTGTCATCGACTGCCACCCCGCACCCCGCGCACCCCCCGCGCACCTCCAGCGCCCCCTCCCGCACCAGCGACCTGATGCCCGCGTCGCAGCACTCCTCCACATCTATACTAATATTACATTCAAATTAATAATAAATAAGAAACTTCACATATATGAGTATACCAGATAATTAAGAAATGTATAGATATAGGTACCAACATTATTTTCACCGATAACTTCTTTGAAAAGTACTATGTTTGTAGTCAAGTTCAGTAACATATTGTAAAAAAAATTTAAAAATTTAAAATAAGCTCCATCTTTTGTTATAAAAAATACAAACGTTAAATATGAACCAGTGCCATCTATTGGCGTTTTAGATACAATTATAATGACATGTAGTCATAAGGATTTATTAATAAATAGCGTTAGTGAGGATCAAGTTAAAAACGTATTAAGTAAAATGTTTGCTCTTCATAATTTACAAACTGTTGTACGCGACTTCGTCCATGTGAAATAAAAAATAATAAAAAACATAACATAGTTACGATAACGTGCCTTTGTAGTGATAAAAGAATTGTCGAAATCGATCAAATAGTTTCTAAGTTATTTCAATACATATAAAAAAGTAAATCTGTCTTATGTGTATTTTCTGTAGATGTTTGCAGTATACTGACGTGTCCCTGTGGGTGACGGCGAGCAGCGAGGCGCGCAGCAGGCGGACGAGGTGCGCGCGGCGCGCGGCCAGGCGCAGCGCGGCGCCGCTCAGCAGCAGCGCGGCCAGCGCGGCCGGCGCGGGCCCCGCCCCGCACAGCACGCTGCGCGCGCCCGGCATGCGCCCGCCCAGCACGCCGCGCGTCGCCGCCCACTCCTGCGCGCTGCACACCAGGATGCTCTCGCCTGCAACACCCACCCTCCGTGAAAACCCTCTCATGCATTTAAGGAACCTAACAATCAACGTATTTAACCTTTACTACTTTCTTTTTGTATACTTTTCTACATGTTGCATAAAAGGTGGCATAAGAAAAGTTTATTTTATATTAATATAATAAGCGTAAAAGCAATATTTAGTTATGTATGATGTTAGCAAATACAGTATATTTTTTGAATAATTCCTTCTTTAATAAAAAGCCTTTACGACGCACAATATGCTATTAAACTTAGGGAATAAATAATTTGGAGAAACTATTATGCGGGAAAGGGACAAATACTACAAGCTGACAATATCAAGGAATCAAAGTTCTCACAGTAACTGTAATTGTTATCCACTGTCAAAGAATCGTGCATTTCATTGAATTATTTGTAGTTAAAAATTCCACAATATTTTTTTGATATTGAAGTGTTCGTGTGCGGAAGCAGTAAATATGAGTGCGGCGGGACCGACCGGCGCCGGAGAGGCCGGCGCGGCCCGCTCGGCCCACCATCTGGCGGTAGGCGGGCAGCGCGAGCGGCGCGCGGGCCAGGCGCGGCGCGCGCACCACCACGCGCCGCGCCGGCAGGTTCACGCCCGCCGCCAGCGTGGACGTGCAGCACAGCACCGACACCACGCCGCTCCTTCATTCGAATAAACCCACATAAAGTACACAGAACACAGAGATTAATAAACTCCATCAAGTCTCCATTCATTGTTGAGAAATAAACATCTTCTCCTCTACTCATTTGACTAATATTATAAAGAGGAAACATTTGTATTTTTGTATATTTTGAAATAACTCAAAAACTACTGGACCGCTTTTAAAAATTATTTTACCGTTATAAAGATAATTTATATGTGAGTAACATAGGCTATATTTTTTAATTTCACACGGATGAAGTCGCGAGCAACATCTAGTTAACAATGAGCTAAAAAAAAGCCACGAATGTTTCACTATGTCAACGTATTCAGGTAACTCTTTTACCAACTTGTGCTATAAAAATAAATCAGTTAAAACCTGAAAGCGTTTTCGAGTAGACTCCTCTCGTCGCTGGAGAGTCCTGCGTGGTGGAAGGCCACGCCGCAGCGCGCCGCCGCCGCCAGCGCGCCCGCGCCCTCCGCACTCAGCGCGCGGGCCAGCTCCG